GCTGTACTATAAAGGTCATGTGGATAACTATCCCAGAGTTCTTGTTGAAGAAGTACCTGGCTCTTTTTGCCAGATTGTTCTGTGGGAAAGACATATTACTAACCTGCTCTCAATAGCAGGCCTGCACATTACTTAGCTTCTTTGTTTTTACTTGCCCTTCAAATGCTACTTATTTCTTGTGACAACGGAAATCCTCTCTTCTCTTCTTGCTGCTTTCCTGCTTTAGCCAAAGAGGCTCAGACACTAATGAAGAGCAACAGGAAATAATCAAAGAAACATCTGGCAAAGACACTAATGAAGAGCAACAGGAAGTAATCAAAGAAACATCTGCCAGGGAGAAAGTGGCATTCTTTCAACACAGACAGCAAAAAACAACAGACAAAGAAGTTTTGTGATTTACTGCTGATAGGGACGGCTTAAATGACACTTGCCTTTCCCAATGATCTGATCTGTGTACAAAATGAGCTCCTTTTCTGGAATGAGGACATCTTTCACTTCTTCCAACAATTCTGGCCGAAAATTGTTTATAGAGTATGAAGGCACTCGCATGAAAGGCATAGCAGAACCATCACTGCTGCCTGTGTAGGAGGTGCTTCCAAATCTCACTCCAGAAGAGCCTCTGTTTGGGGTCTCTGCCACAGAAATGCCAATAAGAGAAGGTGGAGAGGGTATTAAACAGAATGTTTATTTATATTGGCCGCCAGAAGGCAGTACACGACCAGTTTCGTTCTATTTGAAATTCATCAGATGTACAGAGTCATTGATCTTACTAAGGGGCTCAAACCCTGTTGGGAATCCAGACCTTAGTACATATCCGACAAGTTGACTGAAATGGTATAGATTTGTCTGAAATGGTATAGGGTTTCCTGCCTGAGCAGGGGGTTGGACTAGATGACCTCCAAGGTCCCTTCCAACTTTATTATTATTAAGTTCCAAATTGTTATACCATGTAAAAAAAAATAGAGAAATCCCCCCCATATGCACACACACATATCTCTGAGAGTAAGACATAATATAGCACTTGTTCCTCTCTGTAGAGGAGTTTAAAAGTGGGTATGCCATTCTTAAATAGAATAAGATGGTGAGCAAAGTTCATGTCCATCTTACATTTGTTCCCTTTTCTGAATCTTTGGCAAGATAATATCTTCACATTGTAATGAACTATTGCAGGTTCCTCCCATCGAAGCAATGGGAAGAATGAGGGCAGTGTTTTAGTACCAGAAGGGCATTAGCTTATGTAGTTCTTGAGCAATGTATTTTTGCTTATAGAAATATTTAGAAGGAATTATTCTAACTAGGAAAATGTCAGTCCTGGGGAAACAAAATAAATTTTTAAAAAAACCATCCCAACCGAACACATTTGGGCATCAGCATATCGGACTGATGGCTAGCAAGTTGATCTGTCTCATTGGCTCTAAAATACCAGTTCCAAGTCCTGTTATGAATTCTTACCAGAAGAAGCCACATATCCAGTGTTAGAAGGAAGAAGAGGAATTCCGATTGTGTCCCTGTTGAAGCTAGAAAGCCTTTCTAAATTCTCAGTTCCTGCAAGAAGAAAACAAAATGTCTATCCAGCAACATTCATCTCGTCACTATTCTAGAGTTGGTCCATTATCCACTCTTCCCTTTTTCACTTTGTGAAAGTCCAGTGATTAAGCCATATTTTATACATGCCCATTCTCTGATGAAGTGTCAAAACTAAATGCAAGGTAGTGTTGCTATTATTACTGTGAAGAATTTACAGGGAATAAATGAACATCTGGACCGACTGTACTTTTCTGGCCAGAAAGTATCATAAGAAACTTGCAGTTACCTCCCTTCTTCTTCCGTTGAATATATTTCAAAGATAGAAACACCGAACCGGAAAGGAACAGAATGCCTATGACAGCTCCGAATACAATAGCGAGAGGAGACATCATGGGGATTACAACCACATATCCTAAGTCTATGCAGTTTCCATTCACACAGATCTACAAGAAAGAAAAGGCATGTGATTATCGGCACGGAACAATGGCAGAATCTGGGACAGGGAGAGCAGAAGGAATGAAGGACATGGGAAATGGAGAGCTGACATTTCCATCTTTGCATAAGAGTTTTTAAATGTAGGCAGAAGCCCTACGTCACTGCTGGTGTAAACGATGAGGTTGGTGCTCATCTAGGTGATGGAATTTCCTGGCAAAGAATGGGACATTAACATAGGGGGGAAAGGATATATAAGCATATATATGGGAAGTAGGAAAAACAAGTGGAGTCAAAGAGTAAATTTGAGGGGATAAACTAGTGGTAAGGATTTTGGGAATGGAGAAAAATAATCATTCTCTTTCAGTCCAACTCACCTTGTAGGGTTGTTCTTGTGTGGAAAGTAGGAGGAAGGAAGGAGTATAAGGTATGTTTGCCTCTTTGAGGTATGTATAAAAATAATAAAGGCGGGATAAAAATAAGTGAAAATGGTATCTTATGGGATGACAAAGTGAAAGTAAATGTGGATTTTAAGAATAATTGAGAAACCTAATATTAAAAACATAGAATAAATATAAACCCACATTGTTTTTAAAGATAACCTTACTAAAATCCACAAAGGAAGCTTTTTATAGAAGAGAAAAAGCAGATAAAAATGATGGCAAACATATGAGGATTTATTAATGGAGATAAAGAACAAACTAAGATGAAGATAGATTATATAATTATAGAATTAACTGAAGTTGCAGAAATGGCAAAGCAGTTTGATCAGAGAAAAAATAATAAAGACTGTTGTGCCGGCGCCTGTTGTGCAAGTGGGGCTGCGAGCGCCGGTGCTTGCCACTCGCGCAAGTAGGACTGTGAGTGCCAGCACCTGCCACTTGCACAAAAAGGGCTGTGAGCGCCGGTGCTTGCTGCTCGTGCCCCGGCCTATTGTAACTTGGCTGCATGAGTGGTGGGCCGGGGCACGAGCAGCAAGCACTGGCACTCACAGCCCTATTTGTGTAAGTGGCAGGTGCCGGCGCTCACAATCCCGCTTGCGCGGGTGGCAAGCACCAGCGCTCGCAGCCCTACTTGCATGCTCACAAATGAAGCTGTGTGCATGTGTGTGCATGGGCCTGCACCTCACACAAAACCATCGCATCCCCTCCCTGCACCAGGGCACCAACCCAGAAAGCTTGGTGAATGCTGAGAGACAGAGAGAAAGAGAGAGAGAGAGAGAGAGAGAGAGGGAGGGAGGGAGGGAGGGAGGGAGGGAGGGAGGAAGGAAGGAAGGAAGGAAGGAAGGAAGGAAGGAAGGAAGGAAGGAAGGAAGGAAGGAAGGAAAGAAAGATGATTGACCATTCTCAGGAAATCGTGCCTTGTCCTGCTTTCCTATCACAGTGAAGGTGCCACTGTGCTTTGTAACATCTCCCATTCTTACCAGGTCATCTAATGGGTGAATTTGTAATTCCCCCAATAATTGGGGGGGGTGTGTAAAGAAATAACAAGGGAGGGGTGCAGTGAGTCTGGAGTGTTTTTCTGTAGTATCCCACTGCCCACCTGAAATGGTGATCTATTTAGGATTAACTCACCAGCAAGGGGAAGACAGTTGCAGAGTGACATAACTACAACAATTAAAATGTAAAGGTAAGAAAAATGGTGGTCTGGGGGAAATGTCCCACATCAAAAGAAAATGCACGCTTGTGGCAATTATCTGAGAGGAGGAAACACCATGCTAGCAAAGATTAATCCAATGAAAGTTAAATTGGGTTGCCAGCTGGGCGATCTGGGAGGTGGTTTAATGAGGCAGTGAATGCATGAGCACTGTTGCTATTTTTCAATGTGTGCAGAAAGCCAGAGTGCTGGAACTGATTGTGTAACCAAAGGCTTTAGTACTCTTTGGAGATTTTCAGGATATTGTCTCCTGACTTGCATCTGTCTACATTCACACTGCTTGGGAATGTTAAGGATACAAAGTAAATTGAACATGGGGAAGGACTATAGGGATCCTTAGTGAATCCAAGTTGGAAAACTTTTTGTGTGACAAGTGCATCTAAGCATCAATGCCAAAGGAAGTCAGGAACTTTCCCCACTATTCTGCCACCAAAATGAGCATTTGGTGTATACATAATAAAGCCTTCTTTAAAAATTTACCTTAATGGTCAAAATTAATCTTACCCTGAGCGCACAAGCTATTAAAAAGTAGAACCAGTGAAGGAACCAACACTCTGAATTCCTGTGGGGTCCTTGGTGCTCTCTGAGTTTAGTGATTTCATTAGACACTTCATTACCAAACTAGGTAATATCATCAGTGCTAGAAGGAATTCTTCTCCAGAGAAAGAGAGGACTTATGATCACCCAGAAGACTCCTAACAAATGCTCCTCATGATGGGACTATAAGCTAGCGGTCTCCAGCAGGTTTTAGAACTCTGAAAATCGGTTGCAGCCCTTTGTAAGGGCACTGGGCTCACCCATTTCCCCTCTTAATCATTTTTATTGGAATTGGCTTTTACATTGGTTTTTGGATACTAAGAACTTTCAGAAGGACAAATGTTTTTACACTGGGTGATTTTTTTCCCTTCAACTCGCAGTGAAAGAAGATTTTTTAAAAACGTAAAGAAAAATAAATTATTTGGAAATAAGCACCAAAAATGTGATTAGAATGACGATTTTGGAACATTTTAAACAAAGAATATTTCTTGTTGTTTGTTCAAAGTCCTATTAAAATATATGAAGATCTGAGTTTAAGTGTAAGAAATCTCTTCCTGAGAAATGCTCTGGATGAAAGAAAAACACAATAAGAGGAGACTGGTTACTAGAGATAATGAGAAAGAATTAGATTATACAAGGGCAATTCGGAAATAAACCTCCGTTTGGTTATCAATGACAGACACTCGCAGATACAGAATTTTTATTATGCACATTAGAAAACTACAACATTACCTTAGTTTTCAACGTAATCGCCATTCAAATTGAGGCACTTATCATAACGTCTTACAAGGTTTGAAATTCCTTAGTAGTAGTTGCTCGGCGCCAAGATTAAGATTAAGATTTATTATATTTATACCCCGCCCTTCTCCCGGAGGACTCAGGGTGGCTTACAGCCAGTTTAAAAACAGTTTGATACAAATACAATACAAAATTTAAGAGAATAATTAAAAATAAATATTTAAATAGGCCGTTTCTACTAAAATTTAGTTAAAACCAATTTAAAATACCCCTAGGCCAGTCCTGCCCGCTGAAACAACCAAGTCTTGAGGGCGCGGCGGAAGGAGGGGAGATCCGGAATCACCCNACAGCCGTCAACTGGTCTTCCAGTGTCAGCCGTGGATCCAGGAGGACCCCCAAATTGCGTACCCTCTCCGAGGGAGCCAGAGTTTCGCCCCCTATAGTCAGCGATGGAGTCAGCTGACCATACCTGGGAGCCGGCAACCACAGCCACTCAGTCTTGGAAGGGTTGAGCCTGAGTCTGTTTCTCCCCATCCAGACCCGTATGGCCTCCAGACACCGGGCCATCACGTCAAGGGCATCATTAGGGTGGCCTGGGGTGGAAATGTACAGCTGAGTATCATCAGCGTACTGATGGAAATCCACCCCAAAGCCACGGATGATCTCCCCCAGCGGCTTCACATAAATATTGAACAGTAAGGGGGAGAGGACCGACCCTTGTGGCACCCAAGTTAGGGGCCTTGGGGCCGACCTCTGCCCCCCTGCCAATACAGACTGCGTGCGATCGGTGAGGAAGGAGGAGAACCGCCAAATCTGGGCTATGGGGGGTGATCAAAAACATCCCAACGGAACTTCTTCAAAAGTTCTTGGGTGCGTCTAGCGGTGTGCGGGTGAGCATTATTGTGAACGAACACCACACCGGAAGTCACCATGCCCCAACGCTGGTTATGGATAGCTCGTCTGAGTTTTTGTAACGTTTCACAGTAGACTTCTGAATTGATGGTTGAACCACACTCCATGAACTTCACTAGCTGTACTTCTTTGGCATCTTCACATTGGCAGGATTTTCTATGGCACCACTTCCGGCCGAGCAACTACTACTAAGGAATTTCAAATCTTGTAAGACGTTATGACAAGTGCCTCAATTTGAATGGTGATTATGTCAAAAAGTAATGTAATGTTGTAGTTTTCTAATGTATATAATAAAAATTCTGTATCTGCAAGTGTCTGTCATTGATAACCAAACAGAGGTTTATTTCCGAATTACCCTCATAATTAAAGGAGAATTCCTGCTAATACAGAACAGAGAAAAATATTTTAGCTCTGGAAGAATTTAAGGATATTTGGTCTGATACAATAAAATCGGCTTAAAAGAAGAGACCTATTTGACATTTGGGATTTTCTTCTTTTTCTTGCACCCAATTTTTTTTTGTTTTCATTGTTAGTGTTGAATGTTTGTTTTTCTGTTCTGTATTTTATTTTTGTTGATTAAAAGAAGAAGAAGAATTTTTTAAAAATTACAAAGTATCATGTAAAGAACCAGAAAGAATTATGAAATCGACTTACTTGTTTAAAGTTAAAATATATGTATTGTTATTTCTGGTAGCTTTTAATGGATTTTTGCTGATTAAGATCAAAAAATAAAGTTTATATTTGCCATTAGATAAAAGATGAAACATGGGATGAAGACAGTTTTGATTCAAATATTACAGAAGGTCTTAAGCAATTGAAAATGTTTATACTTGTCTTGAGGAATGGGGAAGTTGGTTCTTTCTCTCTATATATTTTCTTTTTTTATATATCTTTCCCCTTTTCTCCTCCCTGCCTTCTTTCTCTCTTTGCACTTTCTCTTTGGTTTTTTGTTTGTTTACATTATCCTTTGTTTGTATTAGTTTTTTAAATTTCAATAAAAACTATTATACAAAAAAAGAAATAGATGCAAGCAGGCTGCAAAGAAATTGTGTGGAAATACTAACAGGCATGTGGATAATTTCTAGCGTGCTTGATTGCCCATGAGTTTTGTAGCTACTGGATAAGTAGGATGAAAAGGATGAGGTTCAAAGGGAGGAATTAAGTCATAACATTAGATCTGACTGCAAAGAATTTTTTCCTATACCTGTACTGGCAAACGATCCCCAGGGATGTTGGGTATTTGGCAGGTCACCTGATCCTTCAGTATAGTGAGGTAGCAATCTGTACCAGCTACTGACATAGAAATGTTCATGCAGTCTGCCAGAGCATCCAGTCCCTTATGCTGTGAGAGAAATGTAAATACTTGATTATAGCCAAGGATCAATCCTACTTATCAGCATTGTCTATTGGATTTATATCTCAGTTCCACCCAGTGTCCCAAATAATCCTGCGCTGAATTCCACATACAAATTTCTTAATCCCCAAAAACCCAATTGATGTTGTATATTCTCAAAGTACCTTAACTCCCCACCTCCATTTGCTTGTTTTGTGAGTGAGGCATTTTCTCACAATTATTTCCCATTAATATCTAGCCCTTGGAAGACTATAAACTATAGTTCTTTCACAATTTCTGTGAATTGTCTTTAATTGGTTACTCTCAACAATGTACATTAGGGCTGTACGACCCTCAAAAATGAACCAAAATAAGTGCTTCCGATCTCAGAGCCCCTCTCTGTATTCTTTAAAACAGCCCAAGCTTTTTCAGACTCTCTCATTAAACTTTAATGGCATGTTTAAAATAGCACCACCATTTTTCAGGCTTACATACAAATGTCTGAAAAATCAGGGATGCTCTGTTCATCCAAGCCTGGAGTATCTCTTCCAAGTAATTTTTGAAAGATGCTGAGTTCTAATATACACTGTGAACTGACTTGAATTTGAGTCAATATATACTAATGGGAAAGCATACAAATGTAAACAATGAAATACTAGAGAGGATTATCGGATCTGAAGAAGCACGCATGAGCAGAAACTTTAATATTCCCGCAGAAGAACATTTAAGTGACTTAACCAGCATAGTCCAAGTTACTGATGTTACACTATTCATGCAAGTATACCATTCAAGTGGACAAAGGTACATATATATCAAACCAGTTTAACAGATTTTGAATTAGCTCTCATTCTCCCAAGGCTGCAGAGCCTTCCTTGCTAAATTTTTGGGATAGGGAAGCCTCATACTTACAGTGATTTCAATCTTGTCCTCTCCTTGTTGGAGTTCATAAATGTGATTTTCAAAGAGATCAATGACCGGCTTAGGGTAGTAGCGGATACGAAATGTCTTCTGCCCCAGAACTCCATCCATCAAGACCCTCAGGTTCCCATCAATATGTCCCACTTTATTTCCAGATGGATAATCAGGACTTTGACACACCAATATATCTGTGGACAGTGGCCTTCCACATACCTGAAATGACAGAAATCAGAGCACTTTCATCTGGCTTCATTTTATCAACCTAATCTACGCCAATATACCAGCTTATGCAGGAGTTCAATTGTCTGAACAAACATATACAAAATGAAAATGACCATAAAAGGAATTGCTATAGGAAGGCGTTCAAGAATTTGAGAATATATCTGAATGTGAAAAATGGCAGCACATACATCCTCTAGATCACGGGTGTCAAACTCGCTGTGTCACATGACGTGTCGCGGAGTATTGTGACTTTTTTTGCATTGCCGGAGCTGGGGTGGGCGTGGCCTCCGTATGATGCAACCGGCCTATGGGCCGGCAGTTTGACACCCCTGCTCTAGATTAAAGGAAAATTGTGTAACATAGAATTTCACACCCTGCACAATTTGGCAAATTCTTGGATGTGTGGTTCTTTTCAAATCTGTGATCTGGATTTTGTCTCTCATATAATGGCTGAAAATAATTTCAACCTTCTTAGAGATGTCTACGGAGATTCTCAGTCATCCAAGTCATGGTTGTCTGAAAGGTGCTTTTTCACGAGGCAACTGTACTTTCTTTTTTCTCTTTGAAGACGTTTCACTTCTCATCCAAAACAGAGAACTGAACAGAGAACTGAACAGAGCTGAAGAAGCTTCTTGGATGAGAAGCGAAACGTCTTCAAAGAGAAAAAAGAAAGTACAGTTGCCTCGTGGAAAAGCACATTTGGGACTTCTTAGAGATGATTTTCTTCATCTATGAAATTCTCTTCTGAATTTAAATATGAATCACAGAATCATAGAATGGAAGGATTGGAGGTGCGTACATATTGCACATATAACTGTAGAATTACAGAATTAGAAAGAGGCATTGTCCATCAAAATTTTTGAAACAGCCAAGTAATAGCTGGATTTCTATAGCACAAAACTATTCTATTTCCATGTCCAATTCAGTTCTTTTCTCTTATACCAAAAGATTCATAATATAACATAAAGAATGTTTCAACAATATCCAATGAGTTGTTATCTGCTGAACAGATTAGTCACAGTTTCCACCATTTTAATGCTACAAAATGAGGTCAATCGTTTTGTAACGAGCAGAAGAAAAGCAAATTCACATGAAGTAAAAAGAATTTTAGAAGTAGCTACAAAAATGAAAATAAAGATGAAATCAAACTAAACAAGGATAAGGGGAAAAGTAATAAAAAAGAGACAAAAATAATTGTACTAAAAATTGAAGTTAAAGATAAAACCAAAGATCATCTATACATGGAATGTCAGCTACAGCAAAATAACCTTCCAAGTCCTTAAAAATTATTAAGGATCGCCTTAATCTTGTACCTTGACACATATACAAGCATGGACTCAAAGCTAGAGGAAAACATTTTCTTGAACAACTTGCTCTTTTCCTAATCAGTTCCTAAGTGAAATTGTTTGTATCTCTGCATATTGTGAACTCTACATGATTCAGAGCAAGTGAGCAGAACAACTGTGCAAGCTTTGCATCTTCCATCAGCTGGATAGCAAGTCTCTGCAAGTGGAATCACTTCTCTAGCTGCTGGCTTGTTTTGAGACAGTTAGGATTCTTCATTGTGCAGGGTGTCTAATGTGCACCCAAAGAAAACAATGGCAAGGGAGATGAGATGGAGGAAAGCTTGCTTTCATCATCACTCTTTCATACCATTCTAATCTCAAACTGGATTAGAATGGCCAACTAGGTCTCTAGCCATGATGGAGGGGAATTCTGTGAATTGGCCCACATTTACAGTTGTTGGAGCTGAGAAAGACTTGTCAAGACTGATTTCCTCCCTATGTATATTATATTTTCTTAGGTTCAAGAGTACAAATTCTTTACCAATCAATCTCTGGAGCCTGGGCAAAGTTACTACTGAAAGCACCTACTAAGCCATTTTCTAGCTTTTCCACATGTAAGCGAATTCTTCCAGAAAATGTAATAATGGCTAAGATGAAGAAAGTCTTGAACGCTATGCAGAATGCTAGCTTCTCATAGTAGTTTTTATATGCAATGCAACCCAAAGCAGAACATTTATTCAGGCAATTGCCCTGAAATCCACAGGGAGCCTCTTTTGAGTAAATAGCTACAGTCTTCATGAATAAATATCTACAATTCTCTTTCTCTTTTTCTCTCTTTTGAAAATACTCACTTTAGCTTTGCTTTGTACTCCAGCAGACTCAAATTGCAGCCTCATGTTATACACTGAATCCAAATTGGCACCATAGATGTAGATATTGGAGCCCCTGCAAGGAATTGGAAGGATGTGACACAAGAGCAAAGATGTTCTATTCTAAGAGCCCTGGAGCAGCATGTCAGTGATATATTCAGATACTAACATTATCCATGAGAATCTTTAATCCTATATCTATCTCCTAACATTACAAACATTCAGGCCTGCACAGGGCAGTCAGACGCTCCCACCTTGCTAAAAATTGAATGCATTCCTAACGGAATTCACTGGAAATTACTTCAGTACACAGGATGGAGCTGCTGGGAAAACCCTTCTTAATTTCATTGAATGAGACAGCTGCAGTGAAATCTTATCAATTTTTATTATCTATAAATGTTTATAAGTCTTAAAGGTTCAGGACACGAGAAACTTAAATGAACAGAGTACTATATGATTCACAGAATAATGCAGAGACACAATATGCAGTTCACTAGAAAACAATTTAATATCCAAAGGAAGTAATTATAATAGTCCAGGTTATTTTTGTGGATATTTTAAAAAATAATCCATAATAAACATCTGGATTTATTTATTAAATTTTGTGATATGTGGGAGTTTGGCACATTCTGTAATACATATTTATTACATAAGTGGCCTTTTAACTCACATAAGTCTTCTCAATGTACGCTTTTAAATATAAATGTATACATTCCACTATGATTTTTTTTTGTATGCAAGTCCCCCAAATATACACTCTTTTTAAAAATATATTTTACATGGGAAGAGTAGAATAGCCCTTCAGAAATCTGGGTGCAGAAGAAAAAGGAGACTCACTCATAACTGCAGTTGGGAGAAATATCGTATATCTGGGGGTCTTCTCGATACCAGAAAGGCTGAGGAGAAAGAAATCGCTCTTCATCTATTATTAAAAACACAGATGCATTGATCAAGTTGCTTGAAGGTGGGGTGGTACAAATTATGGCCTCCTCTCTCTGGCTAGGGAGAAGGGGGAAAAAAGCATGACAGAACTCTCCTTATCAATAGATCTTTTAGCCCTTTTCTCTGCATTACCTTTTTCCAGCAAGCCACTTTCCTCATGTCCTAAGACTGCCAGTCCAGAATTCCCAGCAAAAGCAGCTAAAAGCATCCAGTTGGGAATGCTGAGAGTTACTATTCCAATATACATCTAGAACAGTGGTTCTCAACCTTTAATGCCGCGACCCCAACCGGTCGTAAGTCGAGGACTAAACCGGTCGTAAGTCGAGGACTACCCAACCGGTCGTAAGTCGAGGACTTTCCCTGCCCGGGAGCGCCGTGCATGCGTGGTTCCACCCCCTGCGCTGGCCGAGGCGTAGCTGGCAAGTGGCAGAGACGGAGCAGGCCGACCACCAGCTGGCCCAGCCCAAGGGAGGTAAGGCACCCACCGGAAAAGGGGGAAAAAATGGCGGACAAAAAAAATGGCGGACAAAAAAATGGCAGACAGCCTTGCTTGGCGACCCCCGTGAAATGGTCGATCGACCCCAAATGGGGTCCCGACCCACAGGTTGAGAACCACTGATCTAGAAGCACTGTTGTTAGGGAATATTGTTCTATATTGTCAACTTTATGAATGTACTAAACAACCCGTGATCCATTGGGTCATCATTTCAGAGATATTTCTTTATGTAAAAAGAAAAAAAGAAATTAAAATTAATTGAATAAGTTTAGCGGTATTTGCTATCTCATGAAGACTGAATGATTTGAGGGATATAGATAGATAGATAGATAGATAGATAGATAGATAGATAGATAGATAGATAGATAGATAGATAGATAGATAGATAGATAGATATCTGTGCCGTTGATAATATTTATATGTAAATGCACTTGGTTTTGTACCTTTGAGGGGCTACTGCCTATGTGTGTTTAGACAATTGTACCTAGGCAATTGTTTATGAAAGAATGGATACCAAGTGAATTGATGTATGCCTTCCCCCCAACCCCCAACAACTAGCCTATGTTCTTAGAATACAATGTGATGAAATCTGTATAAGATGTGTGTTGCCTGTCATCTGGGCTGCTGCTTTTGTTTCTTAAGAACTTGGTAGTCTTAGTTTAATAATGAAACCAGTACTTGGAACTCTCAGGGTTCCCCTCAGGATTCTTTACTTTCTAAATTGCGTTTATATTATCCCAAGAAAGGAAATTGCTAAAGTACATTGCTGCATTTTTTGAATAGCTGAACATAGACAGTATTCAAGATATTTTAAAATATCTTTAAAATTATCTAGCATTTAATGATAGAACAGTATACTCTTATCTGGATTTTTATATACAATTTATAATCTGATGACTGCTCCTACATTTCTCATTCTTTCCAAATAAGTCATAGTTTCTGGTACGGAAGAGTTTTTCCACTGCACCAGCCATATTGAAGTTAGATCCCTAGAAAAATCTTCTTTCCTACAAAACTAGGGAATTAAATATAGGCCATATTCCATTCAATACAGGGAAGGCAGAAGTTTGTTAATGGAAAAGTAGCTAATTTTCCCCTTCATAAGACTTAGCTTATGAATTCTGTGTGGTCAAAATTCAATTCATCATTTAAAAACTGAGTGTTACCAAGTCTTACATAGATATCATCATTATTATATTATTATTATTATTGCATCTGAGTTGGAGTTTCTATTTTTGTTTTGTTTTCTATATCTTGTTTCAGCTCCCTTCATCTTGTTTTTCATTTCTTCTTCATGGTTGTATTAAGGCAACCTCCCCCCCCCAAACCCTGGTTGCATGAAACACTGTGAGTAATAGTTGATTGATAATTGGTGTGAATGATTACTTCCTCACTACAACAAACACTATGCAATTCACTTGCTTTCCTACCAGAAACTGCGACTATGACATATTTGGAAAGAATGAGACATGTAGGAGCAGTCATCAGATTGTATGTCATATATAAAAATCCAGACAAGAGTATACTATTCTATCATTAGATGCTAGATAATTTTAAAGATATTTTAAAGTATCTTGAATACTGTCTACATTTAACTATTCAAAAAATGCAGCAATGTACTTTAGCAATTTCCTTTCTTGGGATAATATAAATGCAGTTTAGAAAGTAAAGAATCCTGATCACTATTGCCATAACCCAGCATAGACAATGTCTTGATTAGGGTTTCCATATCTGGGGTTGCAAGAATCCAGGTAAACATTAGATACTAGATTCATTTCTACACTCCCTGGGACCATCTAATGCTAGTCCATTTTTGCTCCAGCTCAGTCATGGATGTTCTAACCATGAAGAGTCCAAGTGTTTTTTAACTTTGAAGGGTCCAAGTGAATTTCCAAGAAGTTTTTCAGGCCAAGCATCTTTACAAAAAGATGTCATACCAATCAGTTGGGTTTTAAAATCTAATATAATTCAAATGTATGGCTACAGCTTTTATAACTCATTCCTCTATACCTAATATCCCACAGCCTTTCAATCCAGTTTGATATGTTGAAGCAAAAAGAAAGCACCCTGTCATACCTTTTCTCACTGTCCACAGGACATTCTAGGTTATTAATCATCACTTTCCGTGTGCCTCCCACAAAAAGGTTTTGTCCTCGGATAAAGATCTCTGTTCCTCCAGCCATTGGACCATAGGCAGGGTGAATAGAAGTTATGTTTGGCTGCTGTTGAGGGTGAATAGCACAAACAGTGACACAGTGCTCATTGCTTTGATATAGCCAATTATTGGAACATACTCTGATTATAAACAATGTTATTATTAAAAGCATTGAATATACCTATATTTGTTCCTGCACATTAATGTTCAGATACATATTACATCAAATAACCTTACATTTTCTGCAACTCACTGAAGTTCTCATTCAACAGTGCAGCAGCATCTGTATGCAAATTATGCATAAGCACATCCCAAACAAATATCCTCTAATGTCCTACAAGTATTCCTTATACAGTGTTGAACTATTTGTTGAACATTCAATTTTCTCATGCATGTTTTATTTCCATCTTCCTATACTCTGCTCTTAATCTAGCAACTAACCTTCAACTCCATATTCACACACCTCCTATTTTCCCCCACAACAAAAACTCTATCACGTGCTTGGGCTAAAAGAGAGCAACTGATAGGGGGTGTACAGAAGAGAGTTTTGCTCTCTAGCTGATCATTTTAAAATGTATGATAGTGAGAAAATTTATCGCATGCTGTTGATTTAGAGAAAGCACATGATAAAGGCTGGAACTCTGTAATGTTTTGTGTGAATATGGAGTTGAAGGTTAGTTGCTAGATTAAGAGCAGAGTATAGGAAGATGGAAATAAAACATGCATGAGAAAATTGAATGTTCAACAAATAGTTCAACACTGTATAAGGAATGCTTGTAGGACATTAGAGGATGTTTGTTTGGGATGTGCTTATGCATAATTTGCATACAGATGCTGCTGCACTGTTGAATGAGAACTTCAGTGAGTTGCAGAAAATGTAAGGTTATTTGATGTAATATGTATCTGAACATTAATGTGCAGGAACAAATACCAAACAGCTATGTTTAGTGAAGGAAATGGCAAATGAAGGCAAATTATATATAAATGGAGAAAAAAATGGAGCAAACAGATATACTTTGGTAGTACTGTATATTAAAGATAGAAAACTGGATGGATAAATTTTAAAATGTGCAAATGCTGATATATCAGGTGACAGTATGTCATCTGTTAAGAGCAATGATGGTTAATTCAAAGAGGTAAAATGACTGGTTGTAAGAATGCCCTCCTGTTCACTCTATTTTATGGAACCTGTATATGTCATGGGAAACTTAAGAGTAAATTAAATACAACGGAAAAGGGATACTTAAGAAACATGTAAGGTAAAACAAGAAGAGTCATAAATGAATGGATGCTGAATAATTGTGGGCTAAATAAAAAAATCTATTGGCCTTCCTGAAAGCCCTTAAAACCCAGTTCTGCCATTGAACCTGGAGATCTCATCTCTCTCCTGAAGTTTCAGAAAAGCCTTGAAAACCGTGCTCTGGTACCAGACCTAGGGTTGATATTTCCATTTTATATACTGTATTTATAGACACAGGTTTGCCTCACTTGAATTCAACAATCCAGATGACAAACTCATGGAACTTTTCTGTATCTGTCTTGTTAAGACAAGTTGGAACTACCAAGTGTAAAATTGGCCTTGCTTTAAAGAGAGTTTAGAAGTCCCAAATTCCCATCAAATTCTAATCTGGGCAAATCAAAATCTTATTTGAACAAACAAAGTCTGTTAAAGTTTGTAGAAGCTTTAAGTTACATTAAATCTTCTGCACATGTCCACTGATGGTTTACAGTCAAGAAGTTATAGTTTTGAGCAATTTTGGATAAAATTATAGGTAAATGCAGAAATTCTGCAGTGTCAACACCCACCATTCCCAGGCAGCATGTCTAACAGGCATTATGGGAATGATAGTTTAAAATGTTGAGGCCAGAAGTTCCATCTATTTTTTTTCTCCACTGGCCTGTATCTACATCTGCTACAGAGTTTAACATTATCCATTACCGGACGTCAGTGCATATCAGAAAGTATTTATTACATTAATGGAAATTTATTGTAAGAATATTAGCAGATGCTCAAGGAGTAATTATATTAAACTCACCATAAATATAAAGCCACTGAGGATTGAGGAGCCAGTGATGTAAAATGGGCTTGCTTTAGCTTCTATAATGGTCAGATTAATCTGTTGTGGTTCCATGATCTTCTCAATCCCCTTTGGTGACAATGTGCAGACAAGAACTTCAGCGAAATCCTTCCACTTTGGCACTTCGCTATACCTGGAAAGCAAGTAGTGTGAAGATAGGACAAGGAAAATACTGATTATGATAAGCTGTTACAATCTAAGGATTTTTCAGCATCAAGTAATGATGCCCTTTTCATGAACTGTCTACTATTAATTAGTAACTAACCTTGACCTTAGTCTAACATTACTAACTTTGGAATGATGTAGAAATAGCAGGAAGGTCACCTCTTTCCATTCCTAGCTGGCACCAGGAATGTACCATTTGACTCTTGTGAAAAGGAACAACTTCACAGAACAGAATGCTGGATATAGAAAACTGAACAGCCTGTAGTAGAGCACGGTGGTCGTAAGCCATTCTTTCTTTGAAAACACTATTGCTCCATGTAGTCATTATAAATCCTGACTGACAATACATTTCCCACATCAAACATGCCCACAACCTTAGAGCCATGGATCCACCCACTAAAACTCTACATATTATATGTAGGGCCATCCTTTTGAAAGAAGGCATACAAGTTTACCTCATCATTGGTTTCTTGTTTTATTCTGTTTTTTATTGAGGTCAACACTTACTACAGTGTACTGGGTCATAGAGGGTTACCTCTTAACAATTCTTTGCACTTTTAGCAAACAGTAAAAACTGCTACTCATTTCCGCTCTGGGAAAATTGCCAGTGTGTAACCTCTGACACAAAGAAATGTCTCCTGGCCTGATTTCCACATGAGAACTATAAGGCTGCTCTTGCACTGCAACATAAAGCTTGTGACTTCAACTCATAACCACTTCCAGGCAGAGATATTTAAGAGAGTAAATTCCAGAAAATTTCTTTTCCTATCCCAATTTCGCCTTTTGTATATGTGCACATAAACAGATAAAAATGAGCAAAAATGCATACTTGTTTTAAAAAGTGCATCCTTAAAAGGTGCACGTATTTATTCTTTTGAAATGTTTTGCTTCATAACTGAAAGAATACAGATGCACTGGAAGAGACAACAGGAAGAAAGTGGATAAGACAAAAAGGAAAAGATGCAAGACTATGCTGACTGAAGGGAGCTGTACGTAATGTTCCCTCCTCCCATTTTCTCCCTCAGCAAAAGAAGCAGGAGATAGGTTGGGCTGAGAATGACTGGCCCAAATTTTCCCAATGAACTTCCATGGCTGAAGGGGGGAGGGGCTAAAAAAATGGGTCCCTCTGGTCCTAGTTGAACACCTTCAACTATTATACCGTGGAGTATATGAGCCGTGATGGCGCAGTGGTTAGAATGCAGTACTGCAGGCTAATTATGCTGCCAGTTCGGCAGTTTGAGTCTCACTGGCTCAAGGTTGATTCAGCTTTCCATCCTTCCGAGGTCAGTAAAATGAGGACCCAGATTGTTGGGGACAATATTATGCTGACTCTGTAAACTGCTTAGAAAGGGCTGTAAAGCACTGTGAAGCAATATATAAGTCTAAGTGCTGTTGCTATTGCTATACCATACTGTCTATGGAGACTCTCAGTCATCCAGGTATGGTTGTCCCAAGAAGGCTCCACACATTTGCACTTCTCAGGTGACCCTGAGGACACGGGTAAACCTCCAAAAAGGTTTCAACAACTCTCTAAAAGAATGCAAATGACCAGCTGTCTGCAAGCAATATAAATCCTTCCACTCCCCACCATCTAGTCAGAGCTGAAGAAGCTTCTTGCATGAGAAGCGAAACGTCTTCAAAAGAAACACAAGAAAGTCCAGTTGCCTCCTGAAAAAGGCCCCTTTGAGGCTATACCACACTGATTCTCTTGTTGGCTTTTATATTCTACACTCTTCAGTGCACTCAATGAGATCCTGGATGTTTTAGATTAATAAATTTAAAAAAAAAACAGTTATGTTTTATTTATACTGCACTTCCTATCTAATGGTGCTTGGGGCATTATGAAGAAAACACCACACACCCAATAAAAGCCCATTAAAACTGAGCGGCTGCGAAATTGTCATAATGAGTGGAAAGACAGACTCACACCTCCAGGGCAGATATGCACAGCTCTGCCTCTTCCAGCCCCTGTCCTTTTGCAGAGAATCCAGGGGCTTTATTTTGTCAAGGAAAATATGGCAGACTTCTCACAGCCATGGTAACATGGTAGCAGAAACGTATCATGGCACAAGTTGCTCTGCCCTAACGTCTGAGCCTGGGTGTCCACAAGGGAAGCAAGGAAAAGCCAGTGTCGACATACGTAACACCATCATGCAAAGGGTGCAACTTTCGCACTTGCATCAGACTTCAAGATGAAAGCACACAATTGTGTCATTTGACGCCACTATGCACATGCTGTCATTATGACATCCTCATGGCTTGTGATGGATGCCACTCTACCAAACTCTAGTCTGGCCCAGGGACAAGCCCTGTGACAGATTCTCCTTGGGGAATTAACATAGAAATTTTAGAAAAGGTAAAACATTTCAGAAAAGGAAAATGTGGATTCCCTGGATTCATTTTCCCTCCTGACAAGTGAAGACGTTATGCAATAGTTGACACACAATACCCATCTCCATGTTTTATTTCCCCCCCCACTTTTCCCATGTATGTATGCATGAAGCAAATCTGAAGAAATTCTTTTGTGAGTGTTGATGTATGAGCCTAAGCATGGGACCGAGTTAGGCAGAAACCGAGTGGGGAGAAAGGAGGGAGGCAGATTTTCTTCTTACCGGTTTGCTAAGCTCTCTTCAAGTAGCACCGAGCAGGTCTTCTGTCCTACTGTAATCAAGTAGTCCCCAGGGCTTGGGCGTGAGCCAGCAGTGCCAGAGAAATATGGACGAGATTGAAACCCCTTGCCGCAGAGAGTCAGCTTGGTGCTGCCATACAGAGGTGCGTTTCTGGGATGAAACTGGGAAAGCAGATAATAATTATCACCAAGATTATCAACGACCAGAGCAGAAACAGCCCTAAAATCTCACTATCTCCTGCTGAAACGTTAAATAGTATGCCTCAAATTCAGTTGTAAGCAGCAGCCAAAAGGGCAGGCATATTTCTGCACAGAGAGAATGTCCAGGGGAAATGACAAACTGTCTCCATATACCCTGCCCATCCAGCTGTTGCGAAAGCTGGGCTTATGATGCAATTCACTGGAGGACACTCTGCAATTATCACTTGTAATGGGGTAAGCTTGCATTAGTAAAACAAAACCAAACCGGAAAGGTTCAATTTGATGCAGATAAAAATCGTGACCCAAGTTATTTTTGGCCATATCCCAGGCCAAAAACGACAACTATGTATTTTTAAAGACAGGCTAGTATCAATGCTACTGCAGATCAAACCAGCAAGAAATGACTATGCAAAGGAACTGCTGATTAGTCACGGAACAGACTTTAAACAAGGATGTTTTCCCTCCTGCCCTGATTGCTGCACACGCATGAGTGTCAACATAGTCCCACCTGAATTTGAATTCTATTGCTACATTCAAAATAAATTCTCAAAATTTAGTTCCACATAAAAGAATATTTATCTTTAGATTTATATAAAAAGGTTAGCTGTACAAAGCAACAAAAAGTACAAATCATGTTATGATATTTTTTATCACTCTATTTACCATATTTAAGAAATATACAAATGATCTAGACATTTCAATGGTTTCCTCTATTGCACAGTTTAAATAATTTAGCCAATGGGTCCTTCACAATTACTGTATATGATATGTGAAAATGAAAGTTTACTTGATTAAAGTATGTTTGGCTAAATATTAACTCATCTTATTACAGACTACGACTAGTGGCGCAGACAGATAACCTACAGAAAAATCGCTTGAAACCAACTAGCAAAAGCTGTATCCATGTAACAATCTATTAGTGCACAGTACCCCTCTGTTGGTGCACAGCCTATTTTCAAATAGCCACTGAGCCCTAACTCTTTTTTGGTACTTGGAAAGACACAACTACAGTTATAATTTCCTATTGCCTGCCAAGGAAAAGTCAACACCAAGACTCATTTGTTTTTATGACTGCAATCCATTGGCAGCAATGATTATTTCTCACGTAATAGGCAAACTCCTACAAGTTCCTAAAAGATGTAATGATTATGAATGTAACCTCAGGATAAGCAGAAAGTTGGCCAAGTTTGTGGATGAAGCTGTACTATTCAAATGTCAAAAAACACATCTGATTATGAAAACTTCCAAGAAGGATCTATTTAAACTAGTACAAAGAATCCTAATTTCACAAATGCACTGATGGAATCTGAAGTATCTGTAAATACCCCGGAAAATGATTTTGGAAGTCAAGATGGATTTTGTAATGAAAATGTCAATTTCATGTGCAGCAGTTGTGAAAAGAATTAGATTCTTTTAGATTAGATTAGATTAGATTAGATTAGATTAGATTAGATTAGATTAGATTAGATTAGATTAGATTAGATTATTAGGAAAAAAGTCTGAAAACAGAAAAGTCAGCACTCCCATGGCTTTATAGAAATCTATAAAATATGGTATGCTCATATCTGAGATAGTGTATACAATTCTAGTGGTAACTTTTGAAAAACATTGCCAAAGAGCCGGAAAAAGTGCAGAAGAGGGCAATCAGAATGATTGTCTGCCTTAACAGAAGAGATTAGAAGGTTTGGGACTCTTTGGAAAAAAAGTGGACTGAGCAGGAACACAACTGAAATCATGCACTGTCTTAAGACATTAGGACCAGTGAAAATGATTAGAAGATTCAGAATAGACATGAAAAAGCGTTTTTTTTTTCCAGACAGTGCATAATTATTCTAACACAAGATATCGGAATGGCCACTAACTCGAATGGCTTTAAAAGGAATTGGATAAATTCATGGAGGACGACTCTATCAGGAGTTCAAGACTAAGAGATCAAAGTTGTCTTCAGGCTGTTGGCAGAGTACTTCCAAATGCTAGTTGTAATGAGAGAGGAATACAGTATATCTCTATCTTCTATCTATGAACATCACAGAGGCTGGACAAAGTTAGGCAGAACTTGGATTGATTCTGTTGTATGTTCTATTGTTAAGAAAATTGTCATTGTTATTAAGAAAAGCTTAATTTTTACAAAGCTTATGAATTTTTATACCTTACATTAATGAAGAGTCCATTACATAGCATTTGATACTTTACTGTTGGGAAACGCCCAGCCAGACAGGAAGGAGGGATCAAGGAGGGAATTAGTCTTGAGATCCAGGACTGACTCAACCCCCTCCCCCCCTGCCCAATATCCACTGAACCTTATCTATTTCTTCCCAAGGGAAGGCAAACAGTCTGGGGAGATTAATGCCAGGCGCAGGTGACCAGATCCATACATGCAGATTTCAAGCTAACTCCTATATTATAGGCAGTATACAATCAAGGAGTTAGCTTGAACTCTACACATGATGGATTTGGTCACTTACACCAGACACTTACATTGTTTATTTTATACCTTATATTTAGTAAAACAAACTATCTCCTTTAACAAAGATACAGAAGATCTACAATGTACTAGAGTCAACTGTGGCAGAAGCGAAAGTGGAGGGAATACAGAGAGAAGATAAAGGTTCTTTGCATACATCAGTGAGGACTGGAGGGCAGCTCTCTTGATTCCACCGTTTCTTGCATTCCTCCTGACGAGTACATGAATCTCCACACCAGCCACACTGCATGAAACGCTCTGCTTTCAGGCAGCTGAGGCATGTTAGGAAATGCAGGCAGCCTGGACCAGTTTGGTTTACCTGGAATACCTGCAAAATGGACAAAAAAATCAAGATAAATGATAAAAGAACTAACAGTCTTTTCCACAGCCCTGATTGGGGCTAATGCCCCAATCTACGAAAATGTTTTTATATTCCATCAGCCATATTCACAGAATGACTTGTAGCAGAAGTAAAATATTTAAAATGTAAATACAATTTACATTTACAGAGGCATTCCTTAAATATATATCTGGCATGCTCCCTGCCTATAGCTTGAATCAAGATAGTGGAGACATTGTATAGGGTTGAAGATAATCCAAGCTTGAGTAAAAAATGGCCATGAGTTCTCTACAATTCTACCCAGAACATGGCTGAAATATTAATTGGCAGTAGATCTACAATAGAAATGGTTCTCTGGATTAAACAGATCTGTTTTGGGACCAGATCAACGCTTCAACACCTCATGCCACTTCCAGTTCAGAAAATATATTTCCGGAAACTTCAAACTACTTCTAGAATGGGTAGTTTGGAAGGAGATTCTACATGGTTTGGAGGAAAATGGAATATTCTGGAATTCTCTATGATGTTCCATCCTTTCTTATGTATGAATTCAATCATTATGATCCTGAGGTGGAAGACACCTTCCATCTTAATGTAATAAACAAGGTCCTTTTCTTTCTGAAAAGGTAACATTAAGCAAGGCAATAACAATAGCAACAACAAAAGTTTAGAGTAGGTTCAGGAAGCAAACAAGAGGATTTTCCTGAACTACATTCTGAACTAGTACAGAAAACCTCTGTCAATAGGTTTTGCTGAACTTACATATTAGGCACTGAATCTAGACACTAACAGCCTTTTGCTTGTAATGTAAAATCAATGCATCTTCTGAATAATCCTCCTCCTCCCAGAAATAAAAGAATCAATAATCCTACATGGTATGTCTCAGTCCAAAGCAGACTCAGTCTCCCTTGAGAACCCAACATGCCTCACCTCATTTCCTGTGGCAAAGAACAAAGAGTGATGCAGCCTGCCAATTTCTCTCAGGACTGGCAGTTTCTCTCCCAAAGAGAAGTTGGCCATTTCAGCTTTGTAGAAACTGGATCCATCAAGAACCATCTAGAAATATATAGACATACACATGTACGCACATAGAGAAATTTCCGTCAAGAGTTCTCCATTAGAGATTGTGATTATAAAAGAGTGTTGTGACTACATTTCCAAATTTATCTGTGGTCTCTGCTCAGAAGCATGGGAAACTGAAAATACAGTTCTTCCTGTCACTACAAATTCAATTTCCAACAACCCTAATTTAATTGCTAGCAACCATTTTCCATGCATTTAATAATTTACTTTTTTCTGATCCATGAAGATTTTAATTCAATAGCAACTTGAAAAGACAATTTTTCTGAATATTCAATTCAATAGCAATCTGTCTGAAAAGTCTACAGGGACCACAAGATAGGATCAAGGAGATAATATAGGCAACCTGGAAATTTCAGATTGTGCCCTCCTAATAGAAACATTTGTGATAAACCCATTGTATATGGCAAAAAGCAGCAGCTTTAACTAACCTGTAAAACACGTCCTTCAGATGTGCCTAAATGAGCCACAGTAAGTTCTCCTATTGCAGTTACAAAGATAGAGGTTAGCAATACATCAGACATTCGTCCTTGCAGAAGATCCAATTTGAAACCATCCATGGCAATAAAAGTAGGTTTCTTCAAGCAGCTGACGTCCACCACTGGGGCTGAGAAATTCATCTGCCATGACAAACAGACCATTAGATATAAAAAGAAACAGGGCTCATACAGGGTTGATTTTGTGTAGAAGAGGCTGTTAGAATCAGAGTCTTATGTGAAAGAAGGATACCTCCTGGATATGGAATTCCTCACATATTTTATCTGTTGGGATTCCCAATTTTATCTATTATACTCCAATGCCACTTCTGTAAAGGCCAGGGAAGGTACACACACTTGAACTTCTAATTATTCTGGAAGGCTACACCAGTGAGGAAGTAATAAAGATCAAGTCTAGAATTTTTCAAATTGGGTTTTGTGGAAGAACAGGGCTCCACAATCACTTGAAGAGATTCCACGAGACACTAAAAACAATTTAAAATGTACCAGTCTTGGATACACATTCAGTCATATGCTCCCACTTCAGTACTGCTCTTCCCATTTCATTGGCTGTACATAATCAGCCTTTGCAATCAGTCCATACAAGAGGTACCAGCTAGTTATCTCTAACCATCAGTCAAAACTTGTCTTCCCAAGTTGTTATTTTCTTCTGTTCAATCATGTTTGATTCTTGGAGACTGCCCGGACAAGTCTCTGCAATTCTCCTCCTAAAACTCAACTTCCTGCCTTCCTCCCAATTCAAACAAACATCTCCCCAGGTAGCCCATACTTTCTGAAGGATTAGGCTGAGAACCTAACCAAAATAATTAGGCCTAGTGATTACTACCCTTTCCTCCTTCTCCACATTGGGATGAATGACACAACAAAGAACCTGAGTACAATAGTGAGAGATTACATACAACTAGGCAATAAAGTTAAGAAGCTAGGAGCACAAGTACTATTCTCAACCGTACTCCCAGCGAAAGGCCAACACCCATTGAGGGAAAAAAGAATTCTAGAAATAAACCACTGGCTACGGTCACTTGTCTGAGATGGTATATAGCAGTGATGGCGAACCTTTTAGAGACCGAGTGCCCAAAAACTGGCCCCCATCCCCGCTCCACCACCTGCCCCACCCCCACCCCACCTGCCCGCAGGGCCACTCACCGCCTCCAGGGCCCACCGCAGATCGCCCAGGCAGCCCAGCAGCACCATGGCAGCCACACCCTCTGCCTGCACCCCGCAGCATCAACTGCGTGATGGGGCGTGAGGGCAGAGTCTTGTCTACGCTGCCTGGCTGCCATGTCCTTGGCTGCGCTGCTCCGCGTGGGCCATGTTCGGGGGCAACTCTCCTCCAGAGGGGCTGCTGGTGAGGAGGGGTTTGCGGGGGGAGGCAAGGCTGGGGCAACGGCACATGTGCCCACAGAGAGGGCTCCGAGTGCCGCCTCTGGCACGTGTGCCATAGGTTCGCCACCACTGGTATATACTGTAGGTTCTCCTGCTTGAGCTGGGGGCTGGACTAGAAGGCCTCCAAGGTCCCTTCCAGTTCTGTTCTGTTCTGTTCTATTCTATTCTATTGATTTGAAAGCAGTGAGAGCTACAAATCTGTTAGGAGTTTCTAACTTGCTTAGGAGCAGAAAAACAATCATGGTGAGGCCATTTGTCCATTTTTTGCATTCTACATTGTAGTTTATATTTACATGAATACACATGCACATCCCTAAAAGGTCTCCTTAATTATCAAGATGGCATCCTATACAAATCTACTTAGAATTATGAGCTGAGTAAGAATTAATAAAGAAATTTAGAACTGCACTGCTTGGCTGCAGCGCATATGGGCCTCTAAATTCTTTGGAGTGGGAGTTCCTTTGAAGTAAACATACATGAGAATTTTGCTTACAGTATGCAGGAAGGCAAATATAACAAAGCTGGGCTAAAGAGGCTTAAGCCAGGCATTCATAATGGAGAAAAAAAATAACTTGTCTAGTTTTATGTCCGCTAGCTTATGAATTATTATTGGGGTATTAGACCTAAAAATATTTAGACATGAATCACTAAAAGTGGTATAACTGCAGTCAGAAACCCCCAAGTGAAAAATGGAAAAAGCTAAATGAATTCTAATACTACTGGCACTGCTGCTGCTTCTCATGGCACAAATTTTGAGAAAAGATGCTCGAGCAGAAGTAAGAAACTGAAATATGATCAAAGCTTTATCCATTTTGATTTTATATGGTTTGACAAGAAAAGTGAATTAAATGTACAATGTGTTGAAAATGAGCAAGTACAAGCAAAATTATAAAGACATCTGGAAAGCAAACATTCCCAAGATGATGACGACGACGACGACGACGACGACGACGACGACAACAACAACAACAACAACAACAACAATAATAATAATAATAATAATAATAATAATAAAGTTGGAAGGTAACTTGGAGGTCATCTAGTCCAACCCCCTGCTCAGGCAGGAAACCCTATACCATTTCAGACAAATGGCTGTCCAGTCTCTTCTTAAAAACTTCCAGTGTTGGAGCATCACTGCTTCTGGAGGCAAGTTGTTCCACTGATTAATTGTTCTAACTGTCAGAAAAATTTTCCTTGGTTCTAGGTTGCTTCTCTCTTTGGTTAGTTTCCATCCGTTGCTTCTTGTCCTGCCTTCAGATGCTTTGGAGAATGGCTTGACTCCCTCTTCTTTGTGGCAACCCCTGAGATATTGGAACACTGCTATCATGTCACCCCTCGTCCTTCTCTTCATTAAACATACCCAATTCCAGCAACCATTCCTTATATGTTTTAGCCTCCAGTCCCTAATCATCTTTGTTGCTCTTCTCTGTACTCTTTCTAGAGTCTCAACATCTTTTTTACATCGTGGTGACCAAAACTGGATGCAGTATTCCAAGTGTGGCCTTACTAAGGCATTGTAAGGTGGTATTAATACTTCACGTGATCTTGATTCTATCCTTCTGTTAATGCAGCCTAGCACTGTGTTGGCTTTTTTGGCAGCTGCAGCACACTGCTGGCTCATATTTAAGTGATTGTCCACTAGGTCCAAGATCCCTCTCATAATTACTACTATTGAGCAAGCTACCTATACCAGGGGTAGGCAACCTTGGCTCTTTTATGACTTGTGGACTTCAACTCCCAGAATTCTTCAGCCAGCTTTGCTGGCTGAGGAATTCTGCGAGTTGAAGTCCACAAGACATAAAAGAACCAAGGTTGCCTACCCCTGACCTATACCATACCTGTACATTTGGTTTTTCTTGGCCAAATGTAGAACCTTACTTTTTTCACCATTGAATTTCATTTTGTTAGATAGTGCACAGTGTTCAAGTCTGTCCAGATCCTTCTGTATCTTAAGCCTATCTTCTGGAGTGTTGGCTATTCCTGCCAGCTTGGTGTTGTCTGCAAATTTGATGAATTCCCCATCTATCCCCTCGTCCAAATCGTTGATGAAGATGTTGAAGAGCATTGGGCCCAGAACAGAGCCCTGGGGCACTCCAGTACACACGTCCCTCCATGTAGATGCGGTCCCATTGAGGACCACACGCTGAGTACGGCTGGTCAGCCAGCTACGAATCCATCTGGTGGTGATGCTGTCTAACCCACATTTTTCTATCTTATCAAGTAGTAGGTTGCGATCTATTTTATCAAATGCCTTACTGAAGTCCAAATAAATTATATCCACAGCATTCGTCTGATCCACTAATTTTGTCACTTGGTCAAAGAATGCAATAAGATTTGTCTGGCATGATCTGTTTTTGACAAACCCATATTGGCTTTTAGTAATGACTTTGTTTGCCTCTAGGTGTTCGCTGATTCGTTGTTTGATTATTTTTTCCAGAATCTTCCCAGGTATTGAGGTCAGGCTGATAGGTCTGTAATTTTCTGGATCCATTTTTTCCCTTTTTTGAAGATGGGAACTACATCAGCTCTTTTCCAGTCCTCTGATAGTTCCCCAGTGCTCCAGGATCTTTGAAAAATATAGTTCAGTGGTTCTGAGATCACATCTGCCAGTTCCTTGAGAACCTTGGGGTGTAATCCATCTGGACATGGCGATTTGAACTCGTCTAGGCTGGACAGGTGCTCACTTACCATTTTCTTGCCTATCTTAACTTGTGCTTCTATTCTGTTTTTTATGGCACTATTTTTGATAGGTTGGTCTGATTGTTCAAAAACAGATACAAAAAGAGTTAAACAGTTCTGCTTTCCCCCCTGTGTGTTCCATTTGTAGGTTTCATCCCACCATGTTTCCGTAATGGCAACGATATCATATCTGCCCTCATTTACCTGAATTTCTAGTTCATCCTGTTTGCTGTTCATACTCTGTGCATTGATGTATAGACATTTGAGTCCTTTATGACTGATCCTGTGTTTACTTTCTACATAACCTGAGTTGTGGTGTGGTGCCTGAGTTCTCCTGTTTTCTTGCCACCTATTTGGTTAGTGCATTTTGTGTGGCACTCACTATTAAAAGCTTGATTTTGCTTGACAGCAAGGTTGATATTCTTGTACACACACACATCTATGTTACACGCACTGATAGCCCTATAATTTTTAGATTGCCGGGGACAGGGATGTTCTGTATCAATTAACTCACTGTCCCCGCTGTTTAGTTTAAATATTCCTCCAGAAAATCTGTGAATATATTGCCGAATAACTCAGTCCCTTTCTTTGATGGATGCAAACCATCTCTTTTGTACATTTTTTCATTGGAGCAGCTACAGACATCATGATTAATATAACCAAAGCCTTCCCCTTTATACCACTCCTTTAGCCACATATTGAATTCTGCTATACACTGGCCTTTTCCATTTTGCTCCTTATACACTGGTAAAACCTCTGAAAAAGTAAGCCTACAGACTATCCTGCTAAGTTCCTTCCCCAAGCTTTGGAAATCATCCTGCACAGAGAGTACATCTTTTTGGGACAGATCGTTAGTGCCAAGATGTACAAGAGCCTCCAAATCACAGATAAAGATCCAGAGTATTTAGAAAGCAAATATGCAGAACTCTATTTAAAAAAACAGCATTGTATACATTTTTGTGTAGCAACATGAAAAATGCCCCGAACATTGACTTGTTTGGTTAAATATTAAGTTTCCGATTTAAATCTCATTTTGGGCACTACAGAATTTTTTTTTA